TTCGATGGCCTGAACCAACCGGGTTTAGCAAGATCCGTCCAGTCGGATTTCAAGAAGTGATTATGCTTGAGGGAACTTCGAGCTTTGCGCCTTTCTGATTGACCCCAAGAAGCGTGAAAACCATGGAGTTCTGTCAAAGATTTTTCAGTGATTTTCTGATAAATGTTTTAGCTTTTGGAATTTTTGGATTTCTGTGAGTCACAGTATCAGTTCGCCGATGACATTACTCAAAATTTCATACTTTTTTGATGGTGATCTATTGGTGTTTTTGTCTGTCAAAACTGCAGTCTACGTGACAACTTCAGCGAAAGAAAATGAAGAAAGCTGGGCTGTTTTCTGTAATGACAAGCGAATCGATGTTTGTCTAGCAACAGAATACTCGTATGCCTGGATTACGGATTCAGAATACGTGAGTTTTATCAAAACTGTTGCAGATAAGCTTGTCCGTTGTGGACAGATAGTGCAGTTGTAGGTAGCAGGCAGTGGTCGTCCATTTGATTCTAATGAGCTCGCCAAACTGTCTCAGTAAGTGTAAAGGTTTGGGTGACCGTGCAGACAAGTGCCATTTGGAGTCAGAAAATACTGTCGACCGTTGACGTCTGTGAACACTCATCACAATTTTTTTATTTGGCTTCTGAGACTCCTTGCCCACGCGCGGTGTAGATGTATGCTGCTGAATATCCCCTAGGCTTGCACATCGATGCTTGCGCTTATTCAGCTATCGATCAGAAAACGAATACCTCGTGGTATGTGGCTTACGCAGCAACATAATGTTTGACGGTTTCGCCAACGTGAACTTGTCTACTCTTCCAAAACTGAACCCCAGAATACAGATAGAACATGCGGAGCAACATAGTGGGATGTTTAGCTTGCATCGAGCTGAGCAAAGTTATATCGCTGACCGACCCCGTGCTTGGCAATAATTTTCTTCAATGATTCGGCACTTTTTGTAATGCTGGTGATACTTCATAGACATTCCGTCCGGCAAATGATTGCTCACCACCACCGCCACCACTACAACCATCACCACCACTCCAAACGACACCACTAACCTCATCTTTGTTTTCAATCATGATGTCCGAGTGTCATCAGTATGACTGGTCCTCTAAAATGGAGACCGCCTGATTCCCCCTGTCGTTGATTAAAGACGATGCAAATTATGACTTTGTATCGATGCTCATGGAGTTATTGTTGTCATGTACGATTCAGATCGCATGAGCTTGTGTCCGGGGCTGCAGGTGCATCTGAATGATTGTGGTAGGCCAGCAGTAAGTCTCTTCCTCATCCACTTTGATTCTCTTCTTTTAAATAGGGCTTCAAATGAATTTTGAATGCACGCGGGAGACCGTCAGTATAGATCACGCTTGCCCACACTAATGATGATGATGCTGCTGCTGATGATAATGATGATGATGATGACGGCAATTGCCTTGGAGCCGCGAAGTCCTTAACATGTGTATCGGTATAACGTCCTGGTCCAGCGGAGTTTTCTGTGATTCCTCGGTAGTATGCGTCAATATATACTTCGTTGTCTTACCTCTAGTGATGGTTTCACTAGCCAAGCTTGCTGGGTCATGCGTTACGCATGTCCAATTATTGGCTGCCGAGAGGGCTTTTGTGATCAGTGCCCACTCCGGATTGTCATAAACCTAGAGGTGCACGGAATTTGTCATGGCAGAATGGAATCAAGGATTCTATGAAAAGTTGTGTTTTATGTGTATGGTGTCCTGGAAAAAGTGGAGGAATCACTGGTTTATCAGTAGCATGTGTCCTTCCATAACTCGGTTATCTTAACTCTAGTGGTTTCACTTGTTTTGCCTACGTTTGATACAACTTAAAGTTGCGTAAGCTGATCCGTCTTCTTCACATAGCCTCCCTTTGTCATTATTTCTCACCCGCGCGCAGAAAGACTTGAAAAAGCGTACACTGGATCAACAGTACGAGGAAGTGAAAAAGAGGACAAAAGATAGTCACGTGATGAAATACGGTGAGGAGGTGAGTCACAAACCGTCACGGAGAGATTCATTTGAGTCGCTTGTGAAAAGCCAAACAGTTAGGAAAATCAGTGTTTTTGTCGAGATGATAGTCCCATTACGTTACCTTTGAAATGTAACGGTCAAGGTCGAAAGTAGCTGATTACGGACTTCAGGTTCAGCAAGGCAGCTAGTCAGGGTATATAGATATGGAAGCATAGCCATTATCGTCCTTGGATAACCAAGGAAAATAAACCCAAAACTATGTTAATCATCTATAAGTAACTCAGGGGAAGAATAGGTTCATGCAATGACCGAAACTCCCATCTGAAAACTCAGCACTTGATAAGCCAGTCAATCTGTGGCAACGTGATGTGGTTTCCCGTGATTGAATGATGAGTGACGCTGTCTGCTGTCTAAGTAAAAGATGATCCCGCTGCTTATCAATCCCTCGGTCAAGTATTCAAGTCAAGTATTCGGTCAAGTATTCAACCATTGGCCGGTGCGTACTTCACTGATGGAGTGGGATGCGCACTGCTTCTGACTCCCAATAAAGACCAGACAGCACAGATAGGTGTCACTAACAAGATGAAATATCCAATCGAATGAGAAAGATTTGCTTGACGGCTAAGAGTGAAAGTGCACAACGGGTCGGGTACAATCGATCGACATAAGCACGTAACAGGCTCATTTTGGTGCGACCGACGCTTAAACTATAAAATATGACAATGTGCGCACCGTTAGGCTCATTTTGGTGCGACCGACGCTTAAACTATAAAATATGACAATGTCTTAAGCGCACCGTTTAACTGAGTTAAGCGATTCAGTAGAATGATCAGACTCCATGGAACATTAAAACCCACGTTTCTGTGCACATCAGTGGTGAACTACCGAAGTAGGGTTGCATTGTAGACCTCTACTTCTTTGTATGGATTAAGACGCTATCTGGGTGGATAATACACTGATAAGCCTCTATTTATTGTTCATTTCAGACGATGGGAAGTCTCCCAGTTGGAAAGTTTCAAGGTCACTATGATCTACTGATGCACCGGAATAATGTGATAAAAGCAGTATGTGTTCAGCGCAATATTCGATTGTTTGAATTCTATATTGAAACAGTTAGCATTTACCCCATTTTTTGTTTTGGGAACCCAGTGACCATTCCACAGTTCAACAAAATCCTAATAAGTTTGATTGCTTTGAAAATGATTGTGTCGTTCACTTCAGTGTCAGAGATGTTTTCCAAAATCCGAGCCGATATCACCAAAGGCGATCTGTCAGATAATCATCAGATTCTGTGATACAATGACATATTCAAAAATACATACATACATACATACATACATACATACATACATACATACATACATACATACATACATACATACATACATACATACATACATACATACATACATACATACATACATACATACATACATACATACATACATACATACATACATACATACATACATACATACATACATACATACATACATACATACATACATACATACATACATACATACATACATACATACATACATACATACATACATACATACATACATACATACATACATACATACATACATACATACATACATACATACATACATACATACATACATACATACATACATACATACATACATACATACATACATGCATGCATACATACATACATACATACATACATACATACATACATACATACATACATACATACATACATACATACACACACAAACCTACATATATACATGCATACGTACACATTTGTGTACATGCTCATCTATATCCACATATATGTGCATAAATATATTCGTAATTACAGAGCGATAGACACAAAGACAGAAGAGCAGACGGCTGAATAGTCAGAACAAATGTCAACTAGACAGTACATTGGTAATCAAATAGACCGGTAGATGGGGAGCTTGACAAGAGAGACTGATGCATAGATGGATAGATAGACGGACACCTTGTTAGATAGATGGATACATGGATATATAGAAAGATAGACTGGGTAGATTCTCCATTCTTCCAGTCAGCATTGGCAGACCTCCTATTAACAGTAAATTGTTCATTGTTTTCTCCGTTCTAGCCGAATGTTGTAGATAGAAAACCCTCTTCTCGTGTGCATTTGCTCTCAATGTCCCGACGCCTGATGGAGGCCACAACCGAGGAAGAACAGGAAACTGCTTGGCGAAAACTCCACCGTGCACTTCAGGTATGTAGTTTCTTTTCTTATAGAAATCATCCCAGAAGAGAAACTAAATGCACGATATAAAGATCGGCATAGGTTAGAATTGATTACTTAAGTGGAGAACACGCGTTAAGGATGCATGGGAGCAAGTAAAGAGTGATCAATTTGGTATTTTAGAGGTCATTTCTTGAAGCAACCCTAAAATTGAACGTAAGTTGCGCAGGAAATATTTAATAGTCTATCGTGAATCTCCCACAACTGTTTCTAACGGTTTTTTAGCTTGGCCACATCGTCAAGGAAACGTTTCACGACATCGTCATGGATGTGACAACCCACCATAAGCCAACAGTAATGGGCTTGTCCAAGAAGGATGAGCTCATCTGTTACAAGGAGGTATTCGATCAATTCCAGACGCACTGCTTCACAATTCAGCAGGTGAGTTGGCCACGTGGTGCCCGAAAACAAGTGGGCAAAATATGTATACCTTATTTGCCAATGCATTCACCCTCGGCGTCACATATGATGAGCATCAGTCCCAAAGAACTCCTAGTTAAACATCCAGAAAACGACATTTACGGTAGGGAATTTTGAGGCAAATCTGATGCTTATATCAATAGCGCTCTGGTGCTTTTCTGAAAATTGGACGGTGATCCCGAAACATGGTGTTCAACAGTTTGTGGGTCAGCTTCCGAAGCAACTTTATGTCTATGCCCGTTAGCACGTTGGCGAATCACGCAACGTGGAAAGTGATGTAGGTTAATCGGAAGATTAAACAATCAGACGTGTTCTGGAATAAGATCTCCTGTTCCTTGCAGTGAACATGTGAATATACCAACATTGACAGCAACTGAATGAAGTTTTCTGAGTACAGTTCAGTTCAGCTCGTCGGGTAGTTCCTCTTGCCGTTCCTGGCATGAATGAACCCCCATCCGGCCTAAACCGATCACCAGGACAGTGTGATTGATTTTTTGGGAGTGACGCGGGACAGTAGTGACGAAGGGTCCGTGTGTTAAACCCTGCTAAGAAGTTTAGTGAAGCAACATTTGGCCAGCAATTCTGGTCAGACTTACTGGCATCATTATTCAAATCGAGCAATTTTGAGGAACATTTACCGAACAAATCGACATCCAAACAACAGAAAGCTGCAATAAATAGGTGAAAGAAGAAGCTCGAGTTCATATTGATATTTCTGTTTCATTTCTGCGCGCGTTGTGGGTACAATGATTTAAACACATTTTGTGACCCACAGAAACCATTGTGTACAGAGGAATTTCACTGAAAAGCACAGCTGAACCCAAAAAAACCCAGACATTTCCCTGTACAGATGACGAACTTTTGTAAATTCCGGTGAATTTTCAACAGGTCAGATTGTCTGACCGATTTCAGATTTCCTAAACAAGTCTCGATAGGTTTTTTGTCCTTTCTATTCACAATCGACAGCTGTTGCAACCAGGATCTCAGCTTGGAATAGAAGTTCGTCACCATTTTAAATGCCTACTATCTGCAGAGCAGAATTAACAACCTAAACTGGACTCTTCAAACGGTTGCTGAAATGTTTCGTGCAGCTCACGGCCAGTTTTGGCCTTCTCGGTGCCTTCTCAGGTAGACGCGCTTCCTGAGTTCTCGTCATACTTTTGTTTCCGTTGAGTATTTATCTGAAGCAAAACATCATTGGTGAGATTCGCACGTATTCACTTTTGTCTCTTGTCTTGTGTAAGGTGGGTCCAAGTATGACATGAAGTTGACGGGAACTTGGGAACTGCGACTACCTGCTGAGCCCCCAGACGGGTGAAACCGGCCATAGTAGTACTACATATTTTGTTTCGTGGAGTTCACGCACATTCACTAATCTGCTACGTAGCTGAAGACTTTCGCGTCCTCTCTGCTAGCAGTGAGGGAGTTTTTATCATGACGCTTCGAAATGTCCGAAATTCAGATATGCAGATACTCGCCGACACCTATCATAAGTAACTTTTTCTAATATCGGGCCCAGTATCCCCTCGAGCTTCAGTGTGCCTAACTGACAATCTTTCCCACTCTTTAGCATATTTGACACATTTTCCCAGGAATGCTGAACTCAGTTGGTGTACGTTAGGAGGAATCTTAAGTGAACACAATTTCCTGTTCCTGTGATAGCATTCTTGGGGATTGGTCCAAACCTGTGTTGGACATGTATGCTCTTCGATCGATCGTTTGTGTCCTGAATTATTCGGTTGCATACCTGGACTGATTTCCTAACTGAGATTCTGGTATCTCTCTGCCGTTAGGTGCCACAGGTAGCTCAGCACACAGTTCATCTAATGGAGCTGTGCGAAGCCGGATACGAGGCCGAAATCCTCATCGAGTCTGTCCACAGCGTGTGCTCCTAACGGACACGCATTCTGGTGTGGTTCTGTCAAAATAAAATGAACTGAAACTGATCCGTATCGTGTTCTGCTACCGTTACAAGACATGGGTTGTATGTTTCATCAAACAAGAGGTCAAGAAATTGTTCCGTAGCAGTTCGGAAGTAGTTCAGATAAATCTGTCCGGATTCTCAGGTCTTGTGGACTCATCAAGACGTGTTTACCCTATCTGACGTACTATTGCACGATTTATTCACAGGACGATTAATAAAAGACCGGTGGATCAACGCAGTTCGGACAGTTATTGGGTACTCTGTCGACTAAAACACTGCTCAAATTCCCCGTTTTTCTCTTGTTCACTCCAGTTGAACTATGACACAGTCAAACAGCCCCATCGACTTTGAGCACGTTCTCATAGGGCCAGTCACAACTTCATCGGAAGACGGGTTATTTGGATTCGTCTGATTTTGTAAATGTTCCTTACGACACTGGCAACCGGATATTGTATTGCTACTCAAAAGTTCGCTGAATACTCTTGAACCACCCACTATCCGTCTCCCATTTCTGGGTTATATTAGAAAGCGTACAAATAAACAGTAAATTAGAACACAAGGTTCATTAAAAATTGCAAATTAATAAATTAAAAACAAATCAACGCCACCGAGTAGATGTGCCCTTACCAGTTGATTTGCACTTTCCACAGATGCCCTTCGTGGGACCAACGTACAAAATCACTCCATACAGGGCAGTCCTTTCGCGGTTGACTAGACATGTCAATCCACACACTGCGTTGAAGGTTTTGTGTGAAATGTGGACTACAGTACTCAAACAGCCCTACACTGCACTGCACTAGATGCTGTGTGGTAACATCCCCCCTAGTGGAGGCAGAAGAGTATAAAACACCAGAATGAAATACGTCGACATTCGTTAGTTGATAAGTAGTTCTACTGACTGGCAGTCACTGGCCATAAGCAACCCAAGGACAATGGATTCTCGTCCCGGTAACTTTCCGTGTTGTGACATTATGGGATCAGTAGTCAGCAGTCTTTAGCGCTAGAATTTTCTTCTATTGTAAGGAATGCGTTTCTCCTGAATAATTCACTGGCGCCCCACGATATACAAGCAAAACATCAGAGTCAGCGAATCCAGCCAACACCTCAACTTAACCGGCGATCCGACTGGTTCAGATGTATAGAGAGTTTAGCGATCTTTCATGGCAAGTTATCGCCACCCCGGTGTTCGGTGTCAGAGAAAACTTACTGACAATGGTACACAGCAGCTTTATTCTAAACAAGCGAATGTTGGCGAGTGCAACAGTTACATCGGCCCCGCTCTAGTTAAAAGACCCTATCTGAGATTGATCCTGGCTGTCCGATGCGCGATAGTGAACACCCATCAAAATCGATGGCGGTTGTATAAGATGCCTGAACGCCCATTACATTTGGTCGAGGTTCTGTGGTGTGCATGAATACTCATCGGCATTCGCTGAATTTGATTGAATGATTGAATGGCCTGGATGCTTGCTGGGTTTTCTATTGAGTTTACAGTCGAGTTCTAGAGTCACCGAAGTTTCCGGGCATATTAGGGTTACTTCGCGGTATCTGACCTTCAAATACAAATACTCTCATTTTCACATTAACCTCGTTTTAACGGGTAGTCAAATAAACCCAGATAGTTTTTTCCGGGTATACCGGTCTATTCCAATTGGTTTGTTAATTAATCACATTTAGGCATTGTGTCCAACGGTGAGTTTGTTCACTTCTCTTGGTGTGCAAATTATTAGTGTTTTTTGTGCCCCAAGGATAAATTATATAAACGTTGCAGCACCACAGAATGACTAGAACAACGCATGCAAGAATACGATAGTTGGCGCAATCGGAATTCCTTGGATAAGCGAAAGGCCAATGGCCAAATGGTGTCCCTATGCTTTAGGTTACCTAACATGAATGAACCCCGTCGGTATTCAAAATAGCAGACGTAGGGTTGAGCAAGACGCAAGGAACTCAACATGTCATGTTTCGACAAGACTAGTCGTAAAACAAAAATGACTGAAGTGAGTCACAGCCCTCAGTGTACACTCACGTTTTCTTATTCACAACGTAAACCATAGAACAACTATCAGATGATCCCTATTTAGGTGAAAGCAATGTCACTACAGGGCTCGAGATAGTTCGGTGGTCGGGGCGCGAACTTACTGATCGGGGGAGGGTCGCGGTTGGAGCCAAACCCTGACATTTTGACTGCTCCAGTATTGGAAGGTATCTCAGTTCTCGTGCTTATTTTGAAGGGCACGGTACTACACCTGGATAATCAATTTTTAATTTGTTTCATTTTTATTACGCGAATTCTCTCAGAAATATCGTGTTGCGCTAAAATAATGGCGACCTAATCTCCACCCGAACGAACGACTCATGCTGACTATGTCCATTAACGAAGGTCGTACTGAATGTCTACTGATGCCAATAACTTTGTGGGCCTGGAATTCTAAAAGTAATGACAGGCAATCGAATTCACCATGGACATTAAAATTGTGAATTTTTGTACCGCCTGTGAGCAGAAACAAAAATTCATTGACAAGTTTCAGGAATCAGGTGGGGCGACTGATCACAACCTTGGAGAACAACTGCAATGACCTTCTGGAAACAAGAGAGAGGATTAAGCGTTCTGTAGAGCACTTCCCAGTTAACCAAGCCAGGATAAAATTGAAGTGATGCTTCTTCCT